AAACAGTGATTGAAGTTTGACGATTGACATTTCGCTTCACCGACTCCGTCCTCCACCCTTTTAGTCTCGACCCTTACTTGTAGGGCTTATTAAAGTTAGACGCAGGGACTAATTTACTTACCTAGGTCCTATCTGCAGTAATTAAGTAATTAATATGTATCGACTGAACCAGCGTCGTACATCCCGCGAGGGTCAATTCAATTGGTGCATCCACCAACTGTCCCATGTATCTCCTAACGAATTATGTGTCGCAGATTCCATGAATTCGAAATCCCGTTTTCCTATAAAAATATAAAATTACGGAACTGAAGGCATCGTGGATAATCTAAAATCTAAAGAGTCCTAGAGAACATTTTTGGGATCTTCTCGGCAATTAATTGAAAATTTAATTTCCAGCGATCGGACATGTTTGGATAATTCTTCCTAGGAATATTCGCGGAGGAAAATTTCAGTACCTTTTATTCAATGCTCGAGTATGCATTACAGGGGGGAGGAACCATTGTTTCTGAGTTAATGGGACAGACCATAATAGGTTATGATAGGGCTGGTACGGCGACATTTTGATCTATACAGGGAATCGCGGTCAGATGTGTACGCCACGTTGACGAAACAGGGCTCGATATTGAAGTCCATGTTAATCAGTGATCACGCTGCTATTATCTATAACGAAGCCACTGAAACAATACCTCTTACCTATACCCATTACTACGCCATTCAGTTACATCGACACTTGTGTGAACGTGAGTAAACTTGGAGTGAAATGCGATATCTTTTTTTCTTTACACCAACAATTAGGATAGAAAAATTGCAAGCTTTCGATGTTACACATTTCAACTGTGTAGAATTAATTTCGACTACATATGCAGAATATATTCTTTAGGAAATCATACTTGCGAAGTAGGTATAATGAACAATTCCACGACGTCGATTCACGATTGTTCTTAACCTTAGCTGAAACCTGCTATCTGTAGGGTCAACCTAAGATTGACCTAGGGCTAATTTACCTGCAGTAATTAATACGGATGTCAAAGCTATTAACATTAGTCACCCCTACTAGATTTGCTCAATTGCGTCGTCCACCGACTGACTCATTGACCTGTGTACCATGTTCACATAGAGCATGTGAGAGGAACCATCATTGTTTGCAAATCAATGGGACGTATGATGCCAGCACATGATAGGGAAGCTGCAGCTTTTTGGTCATTACGATGAATTGCGGTCCAGCGCGTTTCGCATAGGATCTGCATACATTGGTCCAATCAGGACCTGCCGTCTGATCAGCATGACTGAAGTAATTCAAGCTTTAAAACGTATTCTCGAATTTATTAAAAATTTCAATAAAGCGATTCTTAGACTCGGATATTATTTTTAAACAATTTTACCTTGCGTAACATTGTCGTGAAAACATAGACTCTATCAACAAGTCTTTTTATGGGTATCTCGATTCAATCAGTAGCGCCGTAACAAGTGTACAAAAAAATAGGGCTTTAATTTGATATCTTCACTTGGAGAAGAATTTGTCTTGATGATTAGGTTGAAGTAGTAAAATAATAGGAGAGGGAAGATACTAAATAAAACGACGAGCCTTGATTGGTTCGTCCATCGTTTGATCGACGTACCTAGACATATCCTTCTACTCTGTACCTATTGGCGAAACTATTGTTTGAGGATCAATGAGCCGAATGATAACAGGATACGACGGAGATGCCTGCGGCATCGTTTTACTCTGTACAGAGAATCCTGATTATACGCACCTAAAGCAGGGGCCAAATGCGGTTGGACGTCTCGATTCGTGTCAATTAGTGTTGAAGGCGTCGCTAACTTTGCTAAACGCATTCGAACTTCCCATTAGATTGTTGGATGACTAATCTGTGTTTCGGGACACCTTATTACTCCTAGGTTTGCAAAATCCGGATCCCGAACAACTTTGATGCACTTTGCCTAAATGTTCCTCGTGTTTCCTCAATTCTAGTTTTATACGTTCTACTAAATTTGTTAAAATATTTATTATACTTACCTACTGTTTCTTGCGGTTTTCTCGTGTTGATAATCCATCGCGTTCATTGGCGTTGATTTGACAGTGAATTAGACGTTCCCTAAAACGGTGGCTCATAAAAAGAGATCACGTCAGTCGAGTCGAAGATTTTAATGAACATTTTACAGATTAATTTTGGGACACATTAAGCTAACAAATGGTCAAACATTATCTCGAATTGGTTCTATTTTTCGAGTTATCAATATTTAATATTTTTAAATTTCGAGACATATTGAATACAGAGTTTTCTTCTGAGGTATACATTCGATATGTTTTGAGATTGATGAAATCTTAAATGTTGATAATTCGAGAAAGAGGACCCATTCGAATGAATGCTCGGACGTGTGCCTGTTTATTTGTATAAAGCTCATTAAAATCTCCGATCCTATTGATATACCCTCTCTTTATCGGTCGAGGAATTTAATGGGATTTGTAAATGTAATTCCTTAAAAATTATTTCTTTAGGGAATTTGTTTGTTTTCAATAGAAATACGTATTTACGAGAGTCTCAAATCTATCTAAGAAAAACATTTGCCCTTCTCGGTACCTAAAAAGGTACCGAGAAGATTTTCAATCATTGCAAACTAGTTTCGTCAAACAAAAAGTGTCTTCTTTATGTAAGATGTTGAAGCAAATTGACGGTTTGAAAAATTCTTCCTAATGTACGTCATCAGAGGAGATAGGAGCAAAGGAGAGAAGCGATTACAGTAAAACAACCCTTCAAATAATCCTTACTCGTACTTTAATTTAACGTACCCAGCTATATTATAAATAGGTCAGAGTATGCGTCCATCGTACCATTACAGTCGTTTCTTACAGTAAACCTGCATTAAAGACGGTTAATTGGTATGCGGTGTAGCCGGAGATCACTTCTACGCACATTAGCTGATATCCGCGAGTTTTCACGCTGATCTCGTCTCTAATGGCGACAAATTACCTCTCATGACTTCATCGACTTCGATCAAATCCCACGAAAAGGACTCATTATTTCCAGGACTTCGATTGCGAATAATCCTAACTCTCCTCCATGTTTCAGAAATCTATCCACCGCGAACCTCCTTCGGTTGCCGTTAGAAAAAAATACTAAACCCGATTGATTTCTCCTGATTTGCAGCCATTAAATCCGTGATCAGTGCGACAGGTGCGCACACGAAAGGACCCTGCAGAAGATGTCTCTTTGTTACACGTAGATCCTTAACGCCGATGACTGTCGTCATCTGTGTAATCCTGTACACCTTAAACACGGAACGCTACATAGAGTGGCACCGCTCGATTGTACTAAATTCCGTTATTCCTTTATTTCTTCCCCAAATGTCGAAACGTCCAAGCTAGGTTTCCTATTTCCTCGAGTCCGCGTTTTCGAGTTTTCACTGGGAGTTCGATGAGACGCGAACGATGTCCTGCTCGATTCGGCGAAGGGTTCCTGCGGCTCTTCCTGATAGCAGGACACGTTTCATGCTCCTCTTTTCTCGAGTCCCGAAGGACGTTAACTGCAGTGCGTGCCGGAAAGTCGCGGCAAAAATAGTTGAATTAATCTGAGCTTTCGCCGACTCTCGATCGGTACATTTAAACGTGCTTTTGCAACACGGACAGCATCTAGGGGTTGGGTTTATTATTGGGCTATTGTTGCAGCTCGTGCCTCGTCGAGTCCCCGGGGACTTAAAGTCGGTTCCGAAAAACCTCGAAAGAGACTTTCCTTATTGGACGACGCTTTAGCTGCAATTTAAAATGTAACGCTTTGGACCCTCGAATAGTTTTCACTTTTCAGTACGTTGAAACGGTGGAGCTGCAATTGACGCCTTTTTTTAATACCGAGCTCGCTCGATCACGTGCTGTTGGGTGCTACTTAATTGGTGTTACTTACAGCCGTTGACCGCGAAATCTGAATGTGTCTTCAACTGCTTTTAAGCTCAAAATGCTGACCCGTCAATGGTCAGATGGACGAGGGAGAGCCGGCTTTTCCAATTAATAAAAAGGTTTTGGCTGACTTTTGGCAAAGCCGTTGATTATCATGGGCTACCCGTCGCCAGGGAATAATCTTGGGATTAGTGACGGTAATGCAACTTTCATTGTCGAGAATTTATATTGTCACACGTCTCGTTGTATCGCGCAAGTGATTGGAGGAAGGGGAATAAAAAGTGAATAGTATCAGCCGTTATGTTAGTACTTTTTTTATGACGAAGTGCTAACGATTTATTCAGCAGCACATTTTTGTCATTTCCCGTTCTAGTAGAATCCCGAACGGATCTCTTTTGGGAAATATTTTTGAAAATGAATACAGCCGAGAAATAATTAATTCGGTCGTTTTTGTGGACTTGGAAAAACCGACTCCGAGGATCTAGCCCTGGTTCGAGCACAGGGAGGGTAATAAGTGAAAGACGAACTGCAAAATGAAATACCACGGAAAAGCTCGCGGTATTGTTGCTGGAGCCGTTCCTTCGAACGCAAAATCGATATTCGGCTGGGCCACCAACAATGAGAGCTCCTGCGACGACGAACTTGAGATTCGGTTCGTCATTTCGCAACAATGGGGCACAGACTTTATTATTGAAAACGTACGTTTGAATTATTGCTTTACGTACTCTATCGTTGAAGGACTTCGAAGGGTTTCTGTTAGGTTTCCAAGTACTCGGCTTCGAAACTTCGCTTGTATCCATTCATCCAGATCCCCTTTTTTAAAAACGATACTTACTGCATGTACATTACCATCTACAACATACACCTCAAACCGCTAAGCAGGAATAAGCTTTAAGGTGATATGAAAGTGGCATTTGTGGGATAAATTGTTTATGAAACTCTGAGTAGGTGTACCAAATCGTTTGAAATTTTGCCACGTGAACGTGGAAGCTTCAAGGAAGATCCCGACACCCATATTTTACTTTTAATAAAATATTTAAAAAATCTTTACCGACAGATTTGAAATGAAATTTAATTTCATGGAAGTCAGGACCTTCCTTAAGGCCACCATATTCACCTGATGAAATTTAAAACGATCCGGTACACCTACCTTGGAGAAAAGTTTCATAAACGAGACCTGCAGCCGCCACGTTATCATCACTTTAAGAAATCAACCAAAAGCAGAAAAATTATTATCTTGCCTCCGAATAGTACAATCAAGATATAATGAAATTAGATTGTTATAATTCCTTTTTAATGCATATTATCTTGTCCGATAATTCAGATTATACAGTAGTTTCATTTTTCTGAAATTATTTTGAAAAAATGTAACAGTCATTAAAATTTGAGATCGGGCCACGGGAGTATGTCGATGATCCAGCCGTGATTTTGCGAAAGAGGGCAAGACTTTTGCGAACAATCGACGATCTCGATCTCGCTCGAGGGCGAATTCTACTTTAAAGCCTGGACCACAATCCGCGACTGGCGCGTGCAAAATTCTAAGATCTACATTGCATTCACTCGTCCTCTCACCCACGCAAGTACACACGTTCTCGTAATTTCTCCTTTACCTCCGATACAAGACACTCTAGGGCTAAACACTCACTTACCCCGAAATCCTTATTATCTCTCGACATAACTAACGTACTAGAGCACAGAATTACGGGCAACTCATATGACGTCCATACGACACATCCTTAAAGGAAACGAAATCGTCCTGAATGTTAACGCGAGGCCGATAATATACGTAAACAGTATGTACACGTATGTCCGATGCCGGTCAAACAATCTGTATAAAAATAAATAAATTCTCTAGCCTACGGAATCCAACGATATGTTAGAAATTTAATAATGTAATAATTCACTCTCAACATTCGCTTAACCGCTCGATTGGCGCGATCGAAGGAGCAGATGCGCATTTTATCTCTGGGTCCGATTATTATCAGTTTCTTTGCAGACATTCTCGTAATAACTTTTTCCTTTGAACATATAAACACACGTTCCAGTGACCTCTTTGATGACGAATTAATATGGGATTGTAGCATTGCGGTGCATCCTTATCTTTTCCTGTTTCTTTTTAGTTTAACGTAAATATCGCGGCAGATAGTTCTTTTTATTTCATCCCGAAATTGGATTTTAGTCTTATCGCAGGGAAGTGGAGCAACCTTCGCACGAGTCTTTGGAAAATTCAACACGTCTGCTTCCACGACTGACGTTTCGGGGGAACATTAATTTCTACTTTGGTCTCGTATCCTGACACTTTCGCGGATTCGTGAGATACCCCGTTTCAATGTCGAGGCGTAATGGCGGATGTGCTCTTTTTCCCCTGGCTTTTTCCTCGGGATTCGGGAGTTTACCGAGACATCGCGAGAAAGTGAACCCGATGATCGATGGCCGCCTAAGATCCGATTTGGACGCGCCGGTTCGATTTATCTTTCCTCAGAAATGTTCCGCTTCGGCATCTCGGTTGGACATCGCACTTCTGCTCGGATATCTCCTTTTCCGATGTGAAGTTACCCGCGATGGGACACTTCAATGGTTATCAAATGATGGATCGGCGGACATACTTGCGGATACCCGATTGGGGGATTAACGTCTTAGGTCCCTTCTATTAATCAAAAATATCAAATGACATTAAGGTGGCTCATACCTATTGACAAGGTGAATACACACATCTTTCTGACAAGTACAAGACAAAATTATACACAGCATGGAAACACATAATGATACACACCAGTCAAAATGACTGGTTTCAAATGGCCCATCCTATACAACAAAAAATTCGCCAATAGTTCTACTGTTAACCATACAAGGTATGAGTCTTAAAATCTTTGCACCATGTATGTCAGCATTACACCACAGAGAGTAAAAAATCTCTTTGTAGAAGCTCGATGAAATTTTTCAAAAAGGTCCTGTTTTCAGATCAGCAACTCAGAGAACATTTCGTCGTCGAGGTACAGAATGAAATATTTCATTTTACATGTATCGCGTTTTGTTGGACCACGGGACCGAATTAAATTGCCTGCAGCTCTTGGCGAGTGCTCGGAGTTCTTCAATTTTTTTTTTTGGAACCACAGTTGTTTTTTAAAAATGAAACAGTTCTCTCGTGCAGTTGCTCGGTAACAATCGCCATCGATAAATGAGGCCGCTTTTGGATGGCGCAAATATAACCGTAGAAATGACAATGTTCGATATTCAAATTGGAATATTTCGAGAAATACGCGACATTGTTGAATTCTGTTCCTCCACTTGTTACGAAAAGCGCGCTTTCAAATAATATCCACCGGAATTTCGCAACGGAGGTTGAAAATTAACTAGTAATGTACAATTTCTAATATTCTCGTTACATTTTGTCATTTGTAGTACCTCCAACCTGCTACTACCATTTATCTGCATATTTCTTTTAATATATATTCAATATCGGTTCAACGTTCGTCCTTGCGTTATCATGCAGCAGGAGTAGGGGTCTCTCACGAAAGTCGTAAAATGTGCGGAAACAACAAAAGTCTCGGTCATATCCCATTTCTACGATCAGATACGTGGAACGTGGACCTGCATAGAATCTCGACATTTCGTCTTTTCATCTGGAAATTCCCAATTTCGCCAGGAAAATGCAAGAATCTCTAACCAATCGGAAATAGAAATTTGAATAGAAACTCGGAACGTTGTTGAACAATTACTACTTTAACATGGCGACTCTTTCAATCATCCCTTTTTCTAGAAAAAATAATAAACATTTTATTTGAAAAATAGTTGACTTAAGTGGAAAATTATTTCATGCGATGTGGCACCTGTATATGCGTCCTCTTTTGCATAATTACGTTTACTAATCGAAGGTATTGTACGTTCGATCGCTTATTCGATAGCGTGCTCCTTCGATTGGCCGACTAATCGTATAATATTAACACGCGGCATAATCTATGAATAGCAACTGAGCACACATCTTAACATTCGCATCGTATGAGCGACAATTGTACGATCATCGTTGTACCTACAACTTCCATATAATTTTTTCATATATATGTGTATGTTTTTTTTTTCATTTTTCGTTGTGCTTATGTGATAGAAAGAGATATTCGTCAAGGCGCAACGGGACAATGAGATTTTCGATCGGCCAAGTATTACGTTCGATATCATCGAATCGAAATTATTTCTAAAATATACTCTAAAAATTACTCGTATCAATATTTTTATCGAAACTTCCATACTTTCTGATAATTGCTTTCTATAATACTGGCAGTACTATAATGTTGCTCCGTAAAACCATCGGTGGCATTCTGGCGGCAATCTCTCTTCAGTTAAATGAGCGATATTCTTATCATTGCTTGTAATCAATATAAAAAATTGCCAATATTGACAAATAATTATCTTTCAAAGAAGAAATGCTTTCCCATGTAACCCAAAATAGTACAGGATACTCGAAAGGCGCTGGAAATGTTATAGAAACTCAACCGCCGTTAAATTGTAATAATTCAATAGCGACAACGTTGAAGAAACATTTATTTCCTTTTCATTTGTAAAATTCCTCGGCAACCGTACACTTCTGGAAAGACTTGCCCCATTTATTTTATCCAGGACACGAATCTATCGAACGACCTCCCTAATTCGGCCAATCGAAAATCGATGTTTGTCCCATCGGCAATTACAGTAAGTTCGATACGCCACAAAACGCTCACGGGTATTCCTCAAGCTTCGCATTTAGCTGACTTTAAAGCTACGACTCTATGGCCATGACTATACGGATTCTCGTTAAATTGTCCGACAAGTGCAAAGAGGAACTTAAACGATCGAAGGAACATTTACAGACTGTACAGAGGGTCGCGAATACTTACGACGTAATAATTACCGGAAAGTACGGAGAGCGACAGCGAAAAAGTATAAGACCGATTGTCTCGCGATGTCCGCGCTGGAATAATTCGGTGCCCACAATTGCACCACTACCCTGCACATGAAATAAAATAGGAAATAACAGACAATGCATAATAAACATCAAGAGCCCCACATCGCGACGAAGAATTACCGTATAATGATTCGGAACAGATACACCGTATGTGAAATAATTATTCCATCGATATTACTTACTATTACCGCAGCAATTATTTCCACGATTTTTCGCAATCGTAAAAGGTAAACGTGGTAGACACCCTTCTATCTCATGGCCTCAATGTACGTACCTATGTATATGTATATTAAAAAGAAAGGCCGAGTAAAAAGTGACGCACTCTTCATTGCCACCGAAGGGTAATTAGTCAAGTTGGGGAAGTTGAACTCGTTAAGTGCGAGCAGGGGACGAAGTATCATCGGGTGGGAAAAATCGAGGACGTCTTCTACGTACACGTATAATGTACAGCTGAGTACGACACGACATACACTTACTTCGTACGTACCCGAACAACGTTTAAACCTCCTTACGATACGTACACGTGGTTAAGAGTATCGTTACAGACGATTAGTATGGACCCGTTTTCGAACCATTGCGCGGACGCGGATGCAAAGTAAAACCGAAACATACAACTCGGACTCAAAAGATTCCTCAGGTAAGCCGTAAGGTAAATGAATGCCTCTATTACTTGTACTCCTAAACACCATGTAGACGGTTTGGTCAGGTCCCTACTGGAAAGTTGTATTATTTACACGTATATTCATATAGGTCTTCTGCATATTTATGTATATGTGTATACGTATATACATATATGTGTATATATATATTTTTTTATCTCGACATTAAACTTGCGGTGTACACGATTAATTGACTCGTTTACTTCGACAAATGTGCTAAACGATTACCTATGGAGAAACGGTACCTACGGTACACTTCTGCAGTTGCAGTTGCAGATGCATCGGCCCTTTATCTCGCGCACTGCTCTTCCGTATCGTGCCATCCGCAAATATCGGTATCAATGAGTGTCGCTATTGATATTCCGCGCATGTGCGATTCCCTCGTCGGCAAATAATTGCCGATTGATGATAAGCTGGTAAACAAGGCTGCCAGTCTATGTACACGCTCGAACGGTAATTTCCAATGGTATCGGTAAAATATTTGAGCGATAACAAGCGCGATTAAAACGGCAAAGACCGGGCAAATGGTCCGACATAATTAATGGTTTATACGTGGAATATGGGTGTAGGTAGGGTGTATTGGGTGTAATTGGCAGGAAATCTGTAAAAATACCTTCGCGATGAAAAATCGTATCCAAAGATAGTTAAAAGCGTAGAGAATAAACTCGCGGGTATTTAATCCACACCGGTGGACAAGTACGAGTGGGGACCCAACCAAATGTGACGATATTTACGGAAAACGCGATACGAAGTGACGGTTTCCTTTTTCTTTTTATTAACCGAGTTGATATTCATTAAGTCGTTAAAAGCGGAGCTTACTTTGTCAGGCATCCACTCCCATTAGAATGAATTAATAAAGTATTTAAACGAAGCTTTTGTTTGACTAGAAAGGCGAAGCGAGGAAAGAAGATATTTACATTGGACAACGTCGAGGGTAGAACGATTTTTTTTTTTCTACATCTTTTTTTATCGAATTTCGATCACTGATCGGAGAAAGCATGAGAAAGAGTGACAATCAGCTTGTCCGTATTCTTTGATGGAAACAGGGCAAACGATTCGATTTCCGAGATTGATTAAATCCCAAAATGCAAACACTTAAGCAAGCAAGTTTCATGTTAAACATTTCATTCTCCATGTACCTTTCATAGCGCTTGGTTCGACAAAGAGTAGCTATTTAATGAGAGGTGATAAAATATTTCAATTATTTTTAATGTTCACCGTGGTTTCCTGTCATAATCTCTAACAAACAACTCAGATATGCACGGTTTTCAATCTCCATACTCTATTTGAAAGTAAATTATTAATCTTAACTCGTATTGTATAATATTAATTCAGTAATAAAACATAGAAATTTAAGATCTGTAATAAATTAACAGACCGCTAGTATCACTGCGTATCATCCCCTCATTGACAGTGAGAAAATTAATTTATTTCTTCTAGCAAAATAGCTATTCCTGGCAATATACGTAGATACCCACCATCTCCCAATCATTTATAACGTCAACAAATAAGTCTAGTTCCATCAATGAAATAAGTACAACTTCTAATAAAAATATATCATTCCTATCGAAGCGTTACCAGAGTAATTTTAATATGCCCGAGTATTTCCATCGACGCTTCCAAGTTCATATTTCAATTCGCAAAGGACGTCAAGACAAATCAGCAAAGCGAGTGCCCCTCTACGTCGGAATACTATTTCTCGGACTAAAATCTTCCACGAAACGCCACATTAACCACGATTCCAAATGCCAAGACTTGGCCGTATGAAATTTTGATTTCAGTGAAAAATGATCGGTTAAAAGCCTGTTAAAAGCAGCTCGACAGGCTCTCGAGGCATATGAACGACGCTCGCATAAATCCGAGCATAATTCCATACACTCGACGAAAAATCCCACTTCGCATATAAACGCCGACGTCGTTAGTTTACATGTACCTGGTGCGCAATCGCAGTATATGGAAGAATATTTTTAACAAATAAATAAATAACTGCGACGCTCCGCACAGATGGCTGAAACTTGCCATCCATGTCCTAGAGAGCCGTCGATTGTATCCTCGATCGTGGAATCGGTACGACCTTCGATCATGCTCAATCTTAGCAATAAAGGGGTACCTTTTATTCAATCTTAACTTATGTTAGCAATGAATCGAGTGATAACTTCAAGCCAAAGCTTGTAGCTTCGGGCGATTCGCGTTAGGCTTAAAATTTCGAGCTGGACCTGTGCAGCTCATACGAGGAACCTATGTGTTAAGCAATGTGTACCGAAGTGCCCTTATTCCGCGGAAGTACCGAGTACTTGAGTACAGTGTACTTACCGCCGTGTCGATAGCTACAAATCGGTAGACCGATAAGGGAGAATCCTCTTTCCTTCCTCGATAAACGACTGCTGGTAGTCGGTTCTCTTGAAAATTCCTCCAAATTTCCACCCTCAATGGCCTCCTCAAGTTGCACCTCTCTGCAGCGGAATTTCTTGCTCGTAGTGGGCTTGCTAAAGTTAACTTCGTGTATCGTATCCTCCGTTTTAATGGAATTTTGTATACCGACTAGTGATGCGCAGTAATTACAATGGAATTTCCTCTCAACTTCGCTCGCGATACTTCGCTTGATATGGCCGGAAGGAACTCGAAGAAAGTGCCTCGTTTGAAAGGAATCTTCAAGTAATCCTGTTTTCTGTCTTTTGTTAGGGCAAACTAATGGATCAGGTCGACCAAAGGGACGAACAAAGATAATAGAGAACTTTGTTTAATTTCTAATAACACCTCTGTTCTTTCATCTCATTTGTACTGCGCAGAAATTCCAAGCCAATTTGTCTTCAACTTCGTGATGCTTTTCTTAGTCTGGGAGGAATGAAACCGAAGAAAGTGACGTGTTCGACATGAATTTTCAAGTAATTCCTAGGTTTCATTCTTGCTTCGGTCTTGGTTCGGTCATACGTAAAAATTGCAGTCAACTTTGTATTCAACTTTGCCGAGCATGTTTCACTTAACCTGGTCGAGAAGAGCTCGAAAGACGATACTCGTTTTAGTTGAATTTCGGAGTAATCTTCTTATTTCGATTTCTGTTGGGACAAATTGACGGACTCCTGTGTCCGAATGGAGGGAATAAAAATAGAGTATGGACGTCCGTTCGAGGAATTTCTGACTCTCTTGTTTGCATTTCAAATTTGCGCAGGCATCGCTGCAAGGTAAATTTACTTTCTCAGAACTTCTTTCGGTTAATTTCGTTCGTTTCGGGGGCGAATCGGCACGTTTATTGCAGCATTTTGTCCTATTTCTCCTGCTTGATCTCTAAATATCTGCATACGGCCTGGATTCCTCACGAAATGCACGGCAGTCTCCTCGAGTAATGCAAACAGGCGGGGAAGTTGTATTCGCCAATAGAACCGGGATAATGGCTGTAGTTTGGAAGTTGGCTACGGTGCTTCATGATCCTCGCGAACTCGATGCTCTTCCCGGTACGTTATTCCCGAACTTCTACCTCATTTCTTGCTGCTTACCTATTTATCCATTCGCGCTATTTCGCGAAATAAAAATCGCTGAATTAATTATTAATCCGCTATTCCGTTTATCCCAATTTATTTATTGGCATCGCTCCGTAATGGCTTGAAATTTCATTAACTCCTCTCTTTCTTTCCTCTTCTAATATTTACTCCTGTCGTGTCGGTTAGACACATTTTTTTAATGGGAAACCCATCGTTGATTGGACCCGTCGATCAGGAAAATATAAAAAGGAAAAGAAAATCCATTTCCGGCGCCTCTACATTTTAGATAGTTATCTGATAAAATTGTCAGTTTTATCGACCAAATTAGTGGTTCGAAATATTGCGCAACGAAGACACCGTGGACTGTATAAAAACATAATAAAAGTGCGAGTACCGTAGGACCGATAATTATCAATTCCTTTTCTCACGTTTTCAACGTAAACCCCGCTGATTATGTCGGGTTTTCTTTGATATTATTCGCTTCTTTCATCGCTATTCATCGCAGCTTGACAATACCTAGCACTTGAAATCGAATTTACTGCAATGTCTACGTCGTTTCTTTCTTTCCGCTTGTTGAACTTTGCGATCATCCGAAGTCTTGTCATTGGAAGAACTTCTGATAACTCCTGATTATCGGTGCACCGTTTTCTCGGACCAAGAATACGCGAGAAATTCTTTAACCCAGTTCTTTAAAGTGGTATTCCTCATTTTTTTTTTTATTTTATTATAATATAAGACGCTTTTCGTGTTCCCCTCAAGGTGACATAATTATCAGCCAGGATGACACTATTTTCGAATCCCCTCATCCGTTTTATCAGTTTTTTCTTTTATCCAAGTCCACGTCGTCGGTGAAGTTATCGTACACTCTTTAAATAAACCAATCGATTGATAAAAGTAGCTGGATAATATTTCGGTAATTCAGATAATTATTTTCTCACGTTAGCATAAAGTGACGAAATTCGCGACCTTCCTCATTACCTTCTCCTTTCTCATCGTAACTAATATAGTTTGTATTCAATAACAAAAATGCCTGCAGTTAGGAACTGCATTTCCATTATTTGATTTTTCATCCCTCATTTACTACGATTTGACAATATCCGGAGCTCAAAATTTCATCTTTCATAATGTCAATTTGATATCTCCTTCTCCAGTTCTTGATATTCTCAATTGCCGAAAGGAGTTGCCCATAGGAATTTGAAAGGACATATCGATGGTACTCTTTTACAAGCAGTCTTATTGAGTACTACGAACAGAGGGAAGTCCTTCCATTCGCCACAATAATTTGAAATGATTTAACCAAGTTTATCACCATCATTAAATCCTGTAAAAATCGTTCCCATCGATTCACCCGAATTCAGATAATTTTCCCTTAACGAACTCCTCCGTTAAATTTTTTTCTGCTCCATTCCTTTCAGCTCGAGCATCGATAACATCTGGAGCATGAAATCGCCTTCAATTGCAACATTAACCTGATTGTTCTCCTTCCACTAATTAATTTCTTCAGCCGAAAGTTCTGCCGTGTTGGAAAGTTTTGAGTAACTCTTGATGACGTACCCTCTCCCCAAGTTCCAGCCTAACACGTACAACGTACATCTTTCTCAACGTTTAATTCCACTTTTTCTCTCCACTTATTCCTTCTCACGTTCGACGATCGTATCCGGATAACTTGAATTAATTCTGAAATTTTCCGCCACGCTTTCCCGGGTAGTTTAATCCCCAATCTGAAGCACGGAAGTTATCTCTGACGTACTTCGCGTACTCTACTTCTGCAAAAGCAAAACCTTCTGCTTTTCTCAAACCAAACGTTCCTTCGGTGATCCTTCCTCCACATCCGGAATCCCTCGACGTCCAGCAACACTTTTCCCATGAAGTCGGAATCTTCTCGCGCTTTGAGGTCTTTTCGTCGAAGGAACTCGTTTGGATTAATCGTTAAACCGTTGGTGCCCCTGCTCCTGAGTAGTCGATCGAGTATAACAACCAGACGGAAAACATGGCTTAATCTACAGCTGCCCATTTACCCTAGTGTTTGATACATGGCCTCATATCCTTTGGGACTGGTCATCCCTCAGCTTAGCGAGGTCCTTCCTGGCTCTCGACTCGTCCAGTTCTCCGTGTTACAGCTCGATAATATTTGGAGCTCGATACAACACCTGATTGCAGTACTTCTCTTCCTGAACGACGTCGTTCTCGGTTCCGATGCTCTCTTCTCGCTCGTCGATCTCTTCCAGGGTCTTGCCGTCGAAAGAACTCTTTTTGTGTCTCCCGGCTGTCGATACACTCTTCTCGCGAACCTCTCTCAGGCGCACCGACCGCTGTGGTTATTTGTATCTGAAAAATGCCCAAGCGAATCGCGATATTTCACCTACGAGTGTTCCTCCTCTTCCGGCAGATCACGATATTAAATCTTATATCTCGAAATCAGAAGGAAAAGAAACACCTCGAGTTAACGAAACCGCCACTCCAATACGTATCTTTTTACCTTTCATTTTCATTTTCTTACGGAATAAAATTAATTACGCGATTAGTATCTCCGAGTTGACGCGTCTCTTATCAATTTCAAAGAATTTTTTGAAAACTATATCAATACGAGGATAATACAATAAGACCAAAGATAACGCGGGTACTCCTACAATGGGAACTAAAAATTGTGCTCGGTCCCCGTGTAATGCGCTCTAAATCCCTTTTTCATATGTCAATTTCATATTTTGGGATTAAAGGAAATCTGGAAATTAACTAAAAGTGAAAGCCTTCTTAAGAATATCACACGAGATATGTAAAATATCTAGGAAATATCTATAAATATATTTTTTTCAGTAACAAAATGTTGACATCCTTCGTGAATCTGTATTATCTTTATAATATCTAGATGACCTATGAACGAAGGGTGTACCTTTAAACGAATTATCTGCCTTTATTGATAATTGCCGCCACCACGTAGGTGATTTAATTTACCACCAGGAATGCAATAATGCATCTAACTATTGGAACGTTGAAATCGCTGAATAGGCTACAAAGAGTGTTACGTGCAAACATTCGATGTTATCACCGTCCCACGAGGTAAGCCCTATTTATACCGAATCAACGACGCACAGATCTCCAATCGTCATCCCCGTAACCGCGGAATGCACGCAAATACCGGTAATTACTATAATTTCTTTCGATGAGCGATTTGCGCGCGACTGTGCAGTCTAGCGTGCACTTTGAGCATCGCGTGGCGCATGCACGCCCTCTTTTCTTGCTACGGTTTCCTTTTTCTGCTCATGAAACGCGTACAAACGGGAGTTACGTTTTATCTTCATTGCTCCGAGACCCATATTGCCATTTTGATAACACCGATTGACCGGAGGGCTCTAAAGAGTCCCACACGGCGATCGACCGTTCCATCAAGAACCGGAAATAACTAACGAGTGTATGACCCGTTTTCCAGCGTTCATAGAGAACAGAGAAAACAATTTCCTTAATTCTGCTTCGTCCATAAATACGAATCGAAAAACCAAGAACAAAACGATGACCCTTTTTCAAGGGGAACATTCACTTGGTCGAAGATTCATCTGAATCGGAATTTACTGCTAGATTATTGAAAATAAAGTTATAATTGAATCTCTTAGATTCAGCTCGTTAAAAGATTGCGGTTCTCGGGACGGTGTTGAATTTCTTTTTTTTTTCTTTCTTTTAATCCAACTGGATTTTAAGAAATTATGACACGCCTTTTGATAAATCCCTCGTGGCGGAAGGAAGTGGGTTTAATCTAAAGGAAATTATATCCGGGTGTAAAGGTGGTACGGAGTTTTATGAAATTGCTCCGTTTCGAAGGATTTAAGCTCGAGGGCTGTAAACGACTCACTCTGTTTCCTTTTTAAGAGTTTCTTGAGAACTCGCGGTTTCATTTACTCACGGCAAGTGAGGGATTAAACATTACGAGTTGTAAACGAATAATGACGCTACTCACCTTTCTGGCCATGGACATGCCAGCAGCCTGCAAAGCGCGAGGCCTATCGCAGTCAATAAACTTGCAGCTATGACGGCGTAAACGATGCAAAGGTGCACCAGCGAGAATATGTAAAGCGTCTTGTCGCACCATAGATTCGGGTCGAACAACTTCTCCGTATATTCCGGCCACTTGATCTTCAATATCCAATAATTTCCTTGAAAAAAACCAATCGATCGAAATTACATATTAAAGTGCTTTCAACTGTTTTAACTTGGAACTATTTTTACCAGGGAGATAAACTTTGGCGTATGAACGCCATTTTTATGAAATCCCTCTACGCGCCGAAATCAGTTAGAACCAATCAACTTCATCGCTAGATTCTTAAAGAACGGACAGGGAAAATATTGTATGTTCGCATTTACTCTAAAAAATGTATATCTTCGCATTTAATCTAAAGAAATGTAATCTTTGCATTTACTCTAAAATATTTGTATCTTCGCATTTACTCTAAAAAAAAATGTGTATATTTGCATTTACTCGGACAATTTTGTAACTTCGCATTTTTTTTTTTTTTCCTTAAAGCAGAGTTAGATCCGAAGTTTAAAAATCGAAGGCTCTTTTGAAAGGCAGAGTCGGAATTGCAGGGCCCCTTTTCTGCTGATCGTTTCGCCGTTTACGCTACGGCTGGACGCGTTTCGCCGACGTCTGAACGCCTGCATCCGACAGCGGTCAGAGTGCACCGTGATTGCAAGCTCGTCAGCCTGCTGCGTCTGCACGACGGATCCGTTTCGGACGCGTCGACACTAGCTAGACCTTGATATGTCTGTTGGCAAAATGTGGGGGAATTCCTGACCCTGAGAAATTCGCTAATATTTACAGGTGGAACTGACGGCTGTTGGGTGAAAATACATTTGGTGAAGCCACGTGTTTGAACCCCAGTGAATTAATTCAGGTTATTGTATAATTTCGGCATAATGCGTGTGTGGTGGTGTAATTTAAATAAATGTTATGCAGCAAATCCGGTCAATGGTAAATATTTTCTTTAACAATCATCGAACCTTACGAAGATTTTCAAATTCCTCGGTTTATTACGTCCGCACGACGGATCAATTTCCAATGTCGATACCGTAGTTGGATGTTAACACGTTCTTTGTCAAAATGTAGATGAATTTGTAATAACGAGACATTCGTAAATATTTATATAGGTGCAAGATTTACAGCGATGCCGGTCAGACGGGAATACGTTTGATGAAACTTTGTATCTGGACGTTGATGTGTCAAATTAGAGTCTTATGAGTGTACGGTAAAACTATACTTTAGTTTAAACGAAGCATTAATTAATATAGTCGATCCGGCCAATCAAATTAATTAAAGTAGTCAAGGTTTGAGTACTTTTGTTCAACAATGGTCGAACTCCGTAATAATTTTAAGCTTCTTGCTTCGATACGTCGGATTTGTTTGGGATGCGTCCAAAATTGTGAGGAATATGCAGCTGTACGCTAATCTATACAAATCATGGCTGACGGTCATTAAAAAGGGTCCTGCAAACCATTACGTTTCTATAACCGAACGACCTAGTATTCGGGTAATAATGCGTCCGTTATTTTAGTCATTTAAACGGCATAATTATCTTATAACGCCGTCAATAGAAGGGCGGAAAAAGAGAATGTGTCATTCGTTATAACGCAGTTCTGCTATAAGGCAGCCTGATTAACGTGATCCATTATGAAAATATCCGTTCCCTCGGTGAATTTTGACATTTTAATTGAAAAATTTCTTAAATCACTTAAGACATTCGCGACCGGCACATTTATTTCCGTTTGAAATACTGAGTACCGGCGAAAACAATGAAATTCTGAAACTGGTTGCCGTAAACTTGTATCGTGGAACGTTATGGACGTGATTCACGTCAGCGGCAATCAGGAATAGAATTTAAAATGACGTGAGTTCACGTCAGCGGTCGCGAATGTGTTAAAAGATAATCATCAGTCCTCTTTACTCGACTCGAACTAGTGCGCCGATGAAAAGAGCTTAAATTAATCTATAACCCTGTATACGTACAGTTTGATATAATCGCATGAATTATTGCCACGCGTGGCATGAAAACGAAACCGCACAGCTCTAATTCACACGACTGTATTAAAGTATAACTGAGTAGGATGAAAGGATTGTATCAGCGACCTCGTTTCTTCAGTGCGCGATTTTTCAGCGATTTCGATTTCACGCACGACAAAGTGGTGCAACTTGCCGCAGTGACGAGGACCATGATTTACTTTAGAAATTACGTGGATGAAGCGAAATAGCTAAATAATGGTGCAACTGCGAGTAGAAAGTAAAACCAATTAGTGCTCTGCATTTAACCGCATGCGTGCGTTTTCCTGAAACACGAACACAAATTACTTTCTTAACTTTATGAAGAGCATACAGGACGAGGTGTTTTTTTTTTTTTGGAGCCAGGAAAATTTAAATTTATCAACTGCATATACGGAGCAAGAGTTCTCAAGCTTGGCCTATAAATAAATGAAAAGGTGTGCGAGCATATTTTGTATGCTCACTTTTTTTGTGCTACACACATTATTAATATTGCGGTGGATAAAACAAAAGAAATATTAAACCGTCCTATTTTGTGATATCTGATGCCTCGACTGTCGCTTACATTTCCTAGCAATATGATTATTTGAAAAAATGTTAAGCATCTATTTCAAATACCTGTTTACTGTCTAAATGGAATGTAATAAATCCATGAATCTTGTGCTAGAGGTTTTTTTATATACGATATAGTAAATATTCAGTACCCTTGCGGATATATTTAATGTACATGCCTTTAAATTTTATAAGCTGGTGTAAATGTCTGATACAATGTAAAACTTCGAAATCAATTTATACGTGCATAGACGTTGCACGCTAATTTAAATCATTATATTTTATTTGTAATTTTTATATAGCTTTGTTTACTTAAACTCTAGGAAACCTATATACACATTTAACGGTGTTATTTGGATAGTAAAGGTAAATTAACTGAACGGAATGCGTCAGGGTACCTAAATATGAAAATACTACATCCTGCTTTCCATAACGGCCCTGTATGTTTATGTCATATGCATGCCACGATATACGAGATCTAAAATAAACATCATAATGCATGCCACCGTTACAGTCATTAACCCGAATTACGCATACCGAAATTCGAAAATCCGGACATCAACCGATATCATTACCCAGGCAAATTTACATAAATCATCCTGCCATTATCTGAAATCAATTTTAATTGTACTCTTATCGCCGAATTTTAACTCTCTACAGTTGCACAGCTTCCAAAAAGGCCGTGCAGCTTTTTTCGTAATTGCAAATAATAAATGTTAAACCTTTGTTGTTCGCGAACTTATGGAACGACCTAATAAATTGCCAAGTTGTTGGAGATAGGTTTCACCCTGGAAACTTGACAATTCAATTTAGCAGCGCTGCTGAATAGCTTATAGAATTGAATAATGTCTGTTACTAAAAATGCCGAAAAATCCTTTTTACTTAGACATTTCTTTTCTCGGTTCAATTAAATGAAACGCGTTTTCATGTCTAAGAAACCATTTCTTTCAATAGATCGAATCAAATATTTCATCGTCATTTGTTGCAATTGAACATCTTACAGTTTCAAAGAAATTCGCAGAATATTATCATTTCTTCGGATGAAAGACCAATTTCTTTGAGGTAATTACGTGTTCTTTCTACCAGAATCTACCAGAATTATTTAATCCAAATGATCATTATTCGAAGAAATCAATTTCTTTCTGCGGTGTTATAACTCCCCAAAGCTATACATATTAGCTATTTAGCAGCGATTCAGTTGCAATTGTTCTGTACATTATAGGTGTCTTACACATTGTCGATTTTTAACAGCAGCACGATTCGAGCACGCCACAAGATACTCAAAGGCTCAACAAAATCGCGTCGCTAATCGTAAGTCGTCAGGGTGAAATCCGTCTGCAAGCCGCCAAAATCGGCAGCGTAAAAAACACAACGTTACGTTAACTTCTTAATGCCCAGTTGCACCAATCTCGGCCAATAAGGTAATCCTCGGTTACAACGAGTTGCACGTTCCACCGCATTTTAATTTCCATTAACCGCCGTTTAAATTAACCAACCACATTGGATCGTTTAGCTTTAGTTAATCGAACTTCAACCTAAAAACTGCACAAACGTGAGGGAATACATGGATCATATTGACTACGTATTATCATCTTATGACGAAGCGGATGAAGACGTTTTTGATTTTATTTAAAATTTCTTAATGACCGAAGTGCGCTTGAAAGTATTTCATAATAATTCTCAACCATCTGTCAAATAATTTATTGCATGAAGCTAGGAGGACTTTAGTGTCTTGACAAGGGCGCATCTATTTAGCTTTATACTCGATCGGAATATCGGCAAATCACGCGAATGCGTTCACCGACGATCCAAGTTACTTCGAGTGGTGTATACGATTAGTTAATCGCGCTTCAAATCAATGTAGTGAAACATTTACGTTTTTAACCCATGATTAACCCTTGTTAGGTAGTCAATGATTTAACCGAGGTTGGTGGAATCGGGCATAAGGATTCGCCCGGCTTGCCGGAAGGGGTAAAACGCGGCAACCCCCGTGAACAATCCCGCGTCGACGGGCCTTTAACGAAGCGTCTGCTTTAAGCGCTTTCGTGGCGTAAACGCTCCCCAATGAGATTTCCCGGACGCACACCCCGAGGAGGTGGGAACTTACCGACAGCGAACCAGCCGAGGAGGAAGCACGACAGGGCGGCGGATGCGAGCTTCATGGGAGACACGTGAGACCTGGCCTCGGGGACGCGCAAGATTTCGGACCTCCTCGAGCGGATCTGCGAGTAGAGAGCCCAGACCATGCGGACACTCCCCAGGATCCCGCCCACCACCATGTAGATCGGGATGTTAGGCTCCCGAGGACAGTCCTTCAAGAATTTCAGCCCTGAAGAAGAGAGCGCGTGCATGGGACCGGGAAAACTGGGTCGCCAAGTTGGCTTTTGGCGTTTCGAATTTTCACCCCCTGACCTGAGCACCTGCCCCTGCGCCGGGTGTGCCGGATTATATGAATTCGCCTGAACCTCTCCTAAAGTAGGCCAGTAAAAAGGAACGTCTGGAAGGAGGGCTCTGCCGCTTCGTTTCCGGCGGACACGCGATGCATGAAACGCGCTCCGGGCCAAGTTTTCGGGTCTTCGGGGGTTACGAGACTTTTCTCGACCGGAGTTTCGGGAGTTATTGAGGGGCTCGAGTTTCGGGGAGATAAAGGTAGTGAATTCTATTTTTCTTTTTGGTTGAAAAAAATTAACGTGGCGCATACAGGTGTCCAGGGAAATCCAAAGGGGTTGGACTTGACGTAGAATCGAGGTAATTTACAGGGCGAGTCTTATGGAAGGTCCTAAATAAGTGCGTATGCCTGTTCCTCTAATAAATCGCGGTAAATTGTAAAATTGTGACTTTTCTCGCCCGGAGTTTCTGGGAGGGAAAGGTAATGAATTCTTTTTTTCTTTTTGATTGAAAAGAATTAACGTGGCGTATACAGGTGTCCAGGGAAATCCAAAGGGGTTGGACTTGACGTAGAACCGAGGTAATTTACAGGGCGAGTCTTATGGAAGGTCTTAAATAAGTGCGTATGCCTGTTCCTATAATAAATCGCGGTAAATTGTAAAATTGTGCCTTTTCTGATACGATCATGTGTCGCGATAGGAAACAAATTTATGACCGAGGGTTTGGTTTCCCTATCTCTTTCAATTAATTGCTCACCTGATTGGCCAAATAGATGTACCATTTATAATACTCATCTTCTGCGGGTTTCTGAATTCAAAATCTACCGAATCCTTGAATTCTTTCAAATGCCTTAATTCTACAATTCATGTACGTGTACACAGAGTTCCTAATAATGCCCTTTAGAGAAACTTTCATTGTATGATTCCTATAAGTAAAATAATGACTTTTCATCGAAGTAACAATTTCATTAAATTTGACTAGTTAAAATTAAACGTTTTGTACGAGAATCTACTTGTTCTCGTGAACTAGGAAATGGTACGAAAACCGATATTGGAAATGTAAATTATGAAAACGTTGCCGACACCTTTTCCATGGTCAGTAATGAAATATGTACAAGTACGATATTACGTGGTTCGACAACGCGCGATGTTATTAAATTTTATACATGTAACGTAAAGTCGACATTGCCTGATACAATGTAAAGTTTACAGATGTTCGCAAAGGAGTGCTATTAGCGGAAATCAATGTATACTAAACGGGGAAGGAATAATGGGTTCCTGGTAGTAATTGACAGTATCGGTAATTTGATATAATTGTCCATAACGACTCGGCTCGGATAGCGGAAAAATATTAATGATGAAAAATGTCAGAGGAGAATCGATTCTTATCAGATTGCATTAAGTGCGGTAATCTGAGAAAATTTGTTTAAGAAAAAAGGGAGGGTCTTAAAGGATTGAAATTTAATCTAAGTACAATATTTTATATTGAATATGCTTCAGGAAAATGTCTTTCATTCGGGTATAATTTAGAAAACGACAGTAACACATTATATATCTCTATTAGTAAAAGATATTTTTACAACTTCGTCAAAATGAAATTCAACCTCACTTTGTTATTAAAAAGAATTAAGTATTTGTGAAGAGAGGTAACCGATTAAAAACACAAACGCTTGACATACTTTCTTTAAAATATTCATCAATTACCGGATTAATACAGATTATGAGGTTAATTATTTTCCGTTATTGAAACTGTACGGTTTGTCCATCGATGTCGATAAAGTTCAATTAAGTATTTCAATTCTCAATCAGACGTAACAGTGCCATTACCTAATTGGCATTTAACGTGTACGCTAAATTCTCTTTTAATTACAATCGTTTGCAGATTAATTGACACGCGCGAAATAACACATGACGCGATATTTTAAAATATAAATCACATATTGCTTCTGAATTTATAGATTATTACTTCATTTCTGCTAATGTAAAAAACATTTTAACTAACATCCTTGACCCCTATTTTCATTGAATCGCATTGCATTTTTTATTCAAATTACAAGAAAATAATGCCACAAGAACACATTAAATAGAGAGAAATCCTTACAACTTTATCGCTGTATAATATTTATCGCGCACAATGCCGTCGACTTGGCGATCCTTCGGAAAAGGTTAACGGGACGGAATACATAAAATGAGGATTGGCGGAAGTCATAAATATTTTATGTCTACCCGAGTGCCCTAGTAAATATTATCACTCCGATTACGGAGGTATAAAATTCACAGCTTGCCGATAAGGAATTCCAGATCCGACATCGTGTTTAGAATCTTATTGAGATCGACCTCAAAAGTCAAGATTTATAGGCCAGTCTCGATTTTCAACTTTCATCGGATAAATTTCCTGTCTTCGCAGTATAGAATAGTATTACCGAAAAGCTGAAATAAACAATGATAAAAATGATAAAAATGATAAAAATTGACGGATCTACTGCGTTTTAATGATTTTCGGTTGGATACCAGTGAATGCACGAGCGCGGGTTGGTTTTTTCGTTATAATAATGACTTATGGCGACGGCCCGAATATCCTCCTATTACGGGGCCATCGGAAAGATTGATGAGGTAGGTCAAGAGTCATCGAAGCCATGGAATGGCGGATATCAAGTAGGCTTGCATGTTATGTAGCCAACAACCTAGTTTGCATGTCATAAACAGAGGGTCTATTACCTCGGAGGCTGGCACGAATGTCGTGGAAAAATGGCGAAAACGAGGCAATACCGCGATAAATTTAAACGCGAATTAAGCTATCCGGATGCTAATGACCACAATAGATACCCGTAACTCGGTTAAAAGCTTACCGAATTTTCCTTATCACCACCGATGCAGCTTCTTCCTCGAAACAAAATTCCGCCCCCTTTTCCAAACGGTAATTAAATTACACCCTAATAATTATAATTCCACTACAAGAGTAACGTCCATTGAAGTGCCTTGTTAAAATAAACAAAAGAAAATCGTCAATCTGTTCTTAGAAACTAATAGCGAACTTGTCACAGAAATTTTCATTTGTAAATACAGAAGGCTTGTGGAATTATTCAACAATTGTTATTATACGTCTTGTCGCCATATTCGGCGTTTCAATACTTATAGTACTGTACACACAAGAGAGCAACAACGTCGTTTAATTTCCCTCTCTTTTCCTATTGCCATTCGATAGATAGTCGCGATACTACGATATGAACGTGTTTAACATGAAAGGAGAGAAAAAGAGCGAGAAAACTTTGACAATCTTGTGAAGGCTGCTTAAAGGAAAGACAGCAAATAGAGGAATTCCTTTCTCCGTCTCTCGTTTTCTCTCTGGATATTAGGTAGGTCGCCACCATGTTGGTTTAAAAGTAATTCATTAAAATTTCGTAAAAAGAGAGAGAAGAGGAGAGATAATGGCCCCTTTGTGTTCTCTCTTTCGGTTCTACCGTCTACGGATCAGTGTCCGTATTTGTGAAAGGTAGAATATAAAGTCGGAGGTATACTCACCCATGATGAACATTACCAGAGGAACTATGAACAGGCAGGCCATGAAAACAGTGACGACCATCGTTTTGCTGACTACCTTCATGCCTCTGCAGACGAAGTCGCAAATGCCACTTGCCTCGAGGTGAGCGTCTTTCAGCTGAAAGACCAAGGAGCCGTATGTGGCGACTCCAAGAGGTCCAACGCCGGAAGAGCTCTTCTCTGTTATGGTAGTACTGACGCCACACAGCCGGCGCGATTCATCTCCGGAAAACTGAAACAACCAGACCGGAAGACCCAGAAGTTGATGCCGGCCTCGAGAGGAGTCCGCTGAATCATGGATCTCGACGATCCCGGAATCTACTCTCCCCCGGATGTCGCCCGAGGAATCTCGGAAGCTCTCCCGAGGGCATTCAACTTCGCCATTTTGGAAAATGTCCGACACCCCGATTGTTCTTGCGGAAACGAGCGACGACGCCATCTTGAATCGCGTTATGCAGACCGAGACATATGCGCGAATTGCTCTTCCGAAAGTGACTGTTTTGTATAATCACCCTCCTCGGTAAAAGTTTTAAGATATTTGATGGTTACATATGCCGTTTAGCATAGTGAAAGGAGTGACCATATCTCGGTAATTACAAGGATATTTCAACAAAAATTCAGTCATTATCTCTTTACCCTATCCCAAACGATGTATATTAGTCTCTTAGTTGCGAGATTTCTATTTGTGGGCGTTGCGACTTTTCTAGAGAGCAGGGCATTAATTGCTCGGATATATTAACAATTGAGTTGTGGATGAGCGATTCTTGATGAAGTGATCGACTAATGGAATGAAACTAATAAAATTGCTGATTGAATTTGCGAGCATGAAAGTAATAGAACGTATTTGATTTTACTAATTACGATTGGTGCATAGTATCTATGTGGTTGTCGTCCTAAGCGTGAGTTTCAACAATTCCAGAGTACATTTTCCCACGAGTGCTCACGAGTGGAAATTTAAAAGCCCCATAAAAGGCCAACATGTATATGTCAACTTGGGTATATAAAATCTTTCGGGGTCAATTGGGGAAATGTCATGCGCTACTCTGCGGAAATATCTATTATTAATCATGCAGAGGTTTGGAGAATTAAATTATGAGTTTGAACAATCCGTGGGTGAATTCTCTTCGAATCTTGAAAAGGGAGTCGAAGAGGATTCCCAAGAGCTCTTAAGTTCGCCGCCTTGAATTATTCCGTGCTGACAGTTGTATGTACACGAAATACCCTTCGGGACATCTCTATGTACACGTCAATGCGTACATATAAAATTACTCGAACCCACACAACTGGCGGAGGAGGTACAGCGTTTAAACACGTACCATTGATTAACTGCCACTTCTACTGTACACTGGAAGACATCAATGCCCTCCCATCCTGCACAGGCAATGCCGTATCTGCAGGGGAGGTATTCATGTCCGCCATTGTAGAGCGGTGGACACGAATGCCTTCCCTGTACATACGGTGACGGTCATTCATGTCCACCAGTGTACATGATACTACTTAACAGTAACACAAACGACGAGGGTATTTCCTACGAATGTATTATTTAAATACTCATACGTATAAATATTTGACACGGGTAAACCACGAAAATAATTTTCGCGTTAGATTTTAACCAGTCTCTACTTAAATTCTGAAATTCTATAGGTATGTATTTTTTCTTTCCTGACATTTGGAATAAGTACCGATTTATGTTATTACTCCTTCTTGTTATATAAACATGGATTGTTATTAAATCTCTGTACTGAAATTGCTCAAAAGCTAGCGAAATAACTTGAAAATCGCGAGGACACGTCGAGGTTCCAAGTCGTAATCAAATTTACCGTGCTCTCGCCTTTACGAGTTTTAAGTTTTCACGAAAGCCTGGTCCACTAAAATACTTAAGCATACCGCTTTATATCAACTTTATATGTTTTAATAACTGTTTCAAAAGGCGCGAGCCAGAATCCCTATTCAAAAGAATTTAGCTGCCAGCTCCCGCGTTTATATAAAAGAAACCGAGAAACATTCTACGGGAATCACATATATCACGAAACCAGATATGGAAATTTTTGAGAATTGAAAATTTGGAGAATTTTACATATTAAATTCCATCTATTTTTTTTTTAATCCTTCCTTTCAAAGTAACGCAATAGCTCGATTGAACGTAAATTCCATTTTTTTGTTCGATTGATTTCGAACTTCACGCTGGCCTGGGTTGTTCGTTATCCATCCAATTTCAGATCGAATGCATTAGCGACTGCTTTTTAATGGAAATTGAAGGTGATAATCACCCGAGGAGGTCCCTTAGGTGTATCTAAGAAACTGAACTGTTGGTCTGGCTTTGTTGAACAATTTAGAGCGTTTAAAACTTACGTTTTGTCTTGTCTATTCTTCCTTTCAAAGTAACAATAGGTTGACCGAGTATAAAGTCAAATATAGGTTCGATTAACTTTTGAATTTGCTTTTGAACTTTTCCATTTGCCCGGATCGTTCGTTACCCATCTGATTATATATCCAGACTTTCAACCGTTATTCTTTTTTTTTTACAATAATTGAAGGTGATAATTATCCGAAATGATTCTGTAAGTGTACCTGGGAAACGGAACTGCTGGCTCTTCGAGAATCTGCCCACGCATTCGTTTCGCAGGCAAGGTTGACTTGAGCTCCGCAACTTCCGGGTATTCGAACGCTCGCGGAATTCAATTCTCTTTGCCGATATGGTGAACTGCTTCGATTTCTGGTCATACCTGGATACATAAAGAGGTAGAAAAACTTAATAAAAATCATTAACATTAGCAACCGTAGATATTTAAGAATCTAACCCCTCTTAATCCTAAAAATCCTTTCCGCAAATAATTATAGACGTACATGTCAAATTACTGTCACACGATAAAACGTGACCGATAACGAGGTTTTGATTTGTTAACAAGAGAAGTTCCGATACTCTCTTATTCGCTCCAAATTTTGACGATTAAATTTCTTCCAAGGAGGAATTATTCCCGTTTCCTTTCGGAAATGCACCTTATTGTGCATTCGTACGTGGTCAAATAATTGCAGGGTAAATCCAGCTAAGAATGTGTCGGAAATGTGATTTATTTAAAGAATTTTCGATACCGTGGGCAGTTTCGGATCGAACCGTAAGGCTTATCGGAGCTCGTCAGAAATGCTTGATCGAATCCCATTTTAGGGTTACCCGGAAGTTCTGGGTCGCGACAAAGAAAGCTCGCTAAAAATGGCACCCTCCTCTCCCTGATACATCGTTACCGCGCCAACCGAAAGATTTATAACCTCAATTTAGCAGAGGGTGTCTCAATTCGCTTGGGAAAAATCGATGAACGCCAACGACCTGGCGGGTGCTTAAGGCGTCGATCCAGGGAGCTTGTAAGTCCTTCTTGCCCCTTTAAACGAGTCGCCGTCGACGCTCAACGGAGACGATACCGACTAAGCAAGTCCCTCGATCTACCCGTCATCTTCTACCGACATAATCGAGATAATCGGCATAATCAAAATTTTAATCGAGGCCTGGATCGTTTCGAAGATGGGTCGACCTTTCGGATAAAGTCGCCGATAAGTCGACGTCGGCAAACTCGTCAATCTCAGGCGAGTTTCTCATTTTTCGTTCGTTTCGAGGAAATTATCTTAATTTAAGGCGCACCCATTTCAATCGGAATTCCATTTGAATTGAAATTCGGGGATGTGCGAAAGTCTTAAGAAAATCGATTCATTCGAGGTTGGATTTGCGAAGTCTGGGATTACTGGGAAATGTCCGGGATGGATGCAAGACGCAGGATGAAGTTCCATTCAATAAGACGTTTTCAATGAACTGCTGGATCTATTTTTCTCCTGTAGGATTATAAAACCGTTTCACGATTGAGGTTTATCCCACTTCCTGTTTATGAAACCATTTTATAGTAGATAGCTGGTATGTCGAGGACTATCTCACCTCGTGATCGGAAATTATAAGAGGACTCCGAATCGAACTTCGTTTCTAATTGGAAGATTAACACTGCATCAATTCCTCGATCATTAGCGGTATAATACATCGTTAATGTGCCATCCGGATGATTTATAACCTCAATTTAGGAGGAAAGTGTCTCAATACGCCCGGAAAAAATCGATGAACGCCAACGATCCGACGGGTGCTCATGGCGTCGAGCTATGAAGCTTTCAAGCTCCTCTCGTCCCTTTCGACGAGTTGCTCTTGACGTTTAACGGGGACGAAACGAGTATACGCGTTCCTCGATCCATCCTGCTTTTTTTCGAGGTGTAATCGAAATAACCGAGATAATATTCCTGACCTCGTTCAATCCGGCAAGATCGAACCGAGGTCGATTACTTGGCGTGGAGAAACTCGGAGATTTCTCACAAGGCTGTTAACCCCTTCGAAATCTATTTCGTCGAGTTGAAGAAAAGCTTTTATTTCTGAAATTTGAAAACGTGCGATGATTGCCTGAGAAAATCGAACCGATGAATCCACTGAGACCGAATATTTTAGGTCTGATTTGGAAACGCTGCAAAAGGAACCTTACAAAACACCGGAAAATGGTTTAGAATTCATCCTTTCTGTACAAAAGTTCAATGTTACTTCAAATGTTATGATTAGCATTGAGATGCGTTATTATCAAAATAGTTGTATAATGCATATCATTAATCAAGACGTTAAACAGTCGCCTAGTAAAAATCGATTTACAACAACGACCTGGCAGGTGCTCGAAGACTCGCTCTACGGAGTTTGCAGCTCTCTTCACGCCATTAAATGAATTACTGTCAATATTTAAAAGGGCCTGTACATGTTCATCAATCTATTCTATTCCTCCTGGCTTCGATTGACCGCAACGAGATTCTAAAATTTCCGCAAAAACAGATACTAAAAAAGGAACTCGTCAAAGACTATGAAATGGCCAAAACACGTGTTTTTTCAATGGAGAAGTTTAATTATGTAATAAATTTGTGATTAACACCATGACACGATATACCGTTCGGAAAATGTATAACGTCAATCTGGACATTATTCAATCGCTTAGTAAAAATCGATTTGTGTCAACGACCTGGCAGGTGCTCGAAGACTCGATTTCCGGAGCTCGCAAGCTCCTCTCACGCCTTTAAATAAGTTGCCAGGGACGCCCAACGGGGGCGAAACGACTATACCAGCTCCTCGAGCTATCCCGCACTTTCTCCTAATATAATCGAGATAATCGAGATTTTAATCGAGGTCCCGATCGATCCAACGAGATCGAGTTGATCGAGGCACGATGAATTAACGCCGAGGAGCTCGGCAATTTCCCGACAGGCCACGAGAAACTCCATCGACTTGGAGGAAATTATTCGAGCTGCTCCATCGAATGGGAATGCCTATTTCTCGAATTCGCAGATGTGCGAAAGTCCTTAATGAAAACCGATTTATCCGATCGCCGATGAATTTGCGAGGCCTGGGATTACGGGAAACTCCGAACACCCGAACAATTGATGGAGTTTTATTTAGTAATGTACTTGGACATAAAGTGAAGTGAAGTAAAGTGAAATCCTGTATAGAAAGAAATAGTATTCCACCAAACAAGATTCTAAGCAGCTAATGTTTTAAGAACCATTTTTATAAATTATGCAGCTTCCGAGGAACTTCACATCGTGGGTGTAGACGCGGATAAGCCGAAATACTAAAGACTCGTCGAGCTGCAAAATCCTGAAGGAATCGCATCGAGCTCCACGAAATTATTCGATCTACTATACAGGAGAAAAGCGCGAATTTCCCGAATCCTCAGATGTACGAAAATCTCTAAGAAAAATCCATTCCTTCGATCGAGTTCGGACTTTTATGGGATAAGAAATACTTCAGATTACTGAAAACTTTGAAGGATTCGAATTGCAACCCGACTTGTATATATATATATATTTTTTAATTATGTACTTATGCAGAAATATTTAAAATTGAAATAAATATTTGCCGTTACATTACTCTACGCAAATTTCGAGGATCCAGTTTCCAGTAGGTTCAACGGTAAAGCAACCGATCGCGTAATAAATTTAGCGGTAAATAAAGTTCGCATTGAAGGAATGGCGGGTTGCAAAGTGAACGAGAAATTGCATCGAGTCGAAGGAAATTATACGATGTGCTGTGGTGGAGGGGGCCGCCTATTTCTCGAATCCCCGGATGTATGAAAGTCCCTCTAGATTTCGATTAGATTGATCGACATTGCATTTGCAAGACTATGGAACTCTCTGAAGAACCAGGGAACCAATCGACTCTTTTACGTAAAATATTTCTATTACACCTGGGCACTTATTTTTAATAACACCCGCTCCAGGAAGAAACAGCGAAAAACCTTCATATATCGACATTATGAAACTCTTATTTCTAAAGTAATGATTATAAAAAAATGCACAGCATCCATGGTACAGACCTTATTATGCTACGTGTCCTGTTAAAGTAGTCAAAATGAACACCGCTCGAAAGTGTTTTAAAGCAATTCATTAAACGCGTTATAAACTCTGCGCTTGTCAGGAGTGTTGAATGCTAATGATGGCTATTCACGAGCAGCAATTGAAATTTCAGTCGTGAGGGTCATGGAGTAAACGTAAATAATTGTATGAAAGAAGGTAATGAACGAATTGCGGAGTCTCGGAGCGCCCCTTAGTTTGATCCATTGAGCTCGATTATAAGTATATTAAAGGAGGTTTGCCGAGAGTGTTGACGTGTCAGGTTAATGTATCGACAAGATGCAAAGTCTAGGAGGAATCGCGTCCATTTCTGGGGAATTTTACGAGGTGTTGTCGAGGTACGGCACTATTTCTCTGGTCTATCGACGCGTGAAAGGGCTTCCCTCGAAAAGCGATTCGTTCTATCGACTTTAGGTTTACGAGGCTCGATACTGCTGGAGCATCATGAAGAACCTACGATCGATCTGAGAAATTGGCACTCGTAAGCTAGGAAACTCGAGTGATAGTAAACTATCACCCGGGAAAATCGATACCTTGGTACCTGTAGGCGGAAAACGCATATCGATCGCAGCCACGGACTCCCGTAGCCTTCTTTAAACGGAGCAACAATGTGTGCCTTTCACATAAATTATTATGTTTGCAAATCGAAAGGAGTTGGTTGAATATTTCTATACGCGAGGTCACAATATACGCTTTTTCAATGAAATTAATTGACCCTGCTTATATTTTTCTCAACAGCAGTGGATATTAAATAAATGTTGAAAGGTATATTGGACTTGCGTGGTACGTCTTAATTTTCATTGTAGTTCCAGACCCTGTCACGAATTTTTTTACTAGGGATTTTATTTCCCTTTAAAGCATTATTGTATTGCTAACTAGTTTCGCGTTTGAAATGCTTCGGTTAATAAACTCGCTTATCTGAAATAAATTGGCCAATCTATCCGCTGTCTTTTAACGTGAGCAGAGGCGAGTTGAAAGACCGAGCACAAAGCCGAGGAGGAAAAATCGATTATTGATTAAGAAGCAGGAAGCATATAATCGAGCAGATCGCATTTGTCATTAATTATCAAATTACTTAGAAAACACGCTCCCATTATTTGCCTCTTAACAAAATTAATATCAATTTGGAACTGTCTGTAATTCTAGAGAAGCCAAAAATCCTCGATTTATTTTTGTTTAATTTATGAAAGATAGCTGCAAACCGTTTTTATAGTACTTATTATTGATAGACATAAAATTCCGTTAATAATTGTTTCCGTGATCTAAAACGTGTGCTTAAAAGAATGCAGCCAGGGTGAGTTGATGCGAATAA